TTTGGGCTGATACAGATTACACTGCCAAATTCCTCTTGCCCAGCAGACAACCATGTTCAAAGTCATCAGCTGTTAGGCACTGGCTGGCAGGAAGGGAAAGAGAGCCTCTTTTCTGGAAGAAGGTGAAGGGAGAGTTAGGGATCCTGAGTGTCCACCTCCCCTTCATTCTACCCTCCATCTTCCTGGTTTCCCTTCACAAGGGTCCAGTCCAGGTCAAGACAATTGCTCTCCACTCTTCCTAGTTTGCTCTTTATCACTTCCTGGTTGATATTCCTACTACCCTTCCTCTTCTAGCTACAAAGACAGTGACACATGGTTGGAATGATGAGCTAGTTTTGGTCCTCATCAGCTGTTGAAGTCCTAACCCCTGGTACCTCTGAAGAGACCTTGTTTTGAAATTGTGTCTTTGAAGATGTTATCAGTTAACATGATGTCATACTAGAGTAGAGTAGGGTGAGTTCTACTCCAATTTGAGTGATGTCCCTACAAAAGAGATACAGAGAGACAGAAAGAGGAAGGATACCCATGTGAATAGGCACCTACAAGCCAAAGGATGCCTGGAACTACCAGAACCTGGAAGAGACAAGAAAGGATCTTCCCCTAGAAATTCTGGAGAAAGCATGGCCTAGCCAACATGTTGAGTTGGACTTCTAGCCTGCAGAACTGTGAGACAGTAAATTAATGTTAGCATAGCCATAAGATATTTCAGTATGACAATCCGAGGAAAATGATACAACCCCAAGTAAAAAAAAAAAAAAAAAAAAAAAAAAAGACACCAGGGCACATGATAATCAAAATCCTGAAAACCGAAGACAAAGAACAAAAATTGAAAACATGTAGAAAGAAATAATGTATTACCTATAAAGGAACAACAATTCAAATGGTAGCAGATTTCTCATCTGAAATCATGCAGACCAGAAGAAAGGGGGCACATTTTTATACTACCAAAAGAAAAGAACCATCAAACCTAACCCTATACAATGCAAAAATATCCTTCAGGAATGATGGGGAAATAAAGACAATCTCAGATGAAGGAAAACAAAGAACATTTGTCACCAGCGGGCCTACCCTAAGAAGAAAGGATAGAGAAAGATCTCCAAAGAAAAAGGAAACGTTAACAGAAGATGACTTGGGATTTCGGGAATAAAGAACAATGGCTTAGGTAAAAGTAGAGTTAAACAGACTCTCCTCCATATGAGTCTTAAAATATGTTTAACAGTTTATTAAAAAATTATAACATCACTGGATATGTTATAATTTGTAACATGAATATATGTTTACTCAATATAAAGAGTAAATACCAAGACAATTCTATTAAAAGAATGGGGAGTTTAGGGACCAAATGGAAGTAAGATTTCAATACTTCATTCAAATTGCTAAAATGTTGATTCAAGTAAACTGTTAAGTTACATATGTGCATTGTAATACCTAGAAATACCACTAAAAAAAAAAACTATACAGAAAAATATACTCAAAAACATAATTACAGAAAAATCAAAATGGAATTTAAAAAAATGTTCAAGTTAATCTGAGGAAAAAAACATAGGAAATAAACAAAAAAGTCATAAAATGGCAGATTTAAGTCCTAATATATCAATAATCAAGGAACCCCGGTGGCGCAGTGGTTGAATACTTGCCTGCTAACCGAAAGATCAGTGGTTCGAACCCACCAACCTCTCTCATGGGAGAAAGATGTGGGAGTCTGCTTCTGTAAAGATTTACAGCATTGGAAACCCTATGGGGCAGTTCTACTCTGTCCTACAGAGTTGGTATGGGTTGGAATTGACTTGACGGTAGTGGGTTATATATCAATAACTACTTTAAATGTAAATGGTGTAAATTTAACAATTAAAAGATAGATTGGCAAGAATGAATAAAAACCAAACATATGCTGTCAACAAGAAAATTACTTCAAATGTTAATACTATAAGTAGGTTAAAAATGAAAGGTTGGAAAAAGCTAAACCATGCAAACATTGATAAAAAAAATACAAGAGTGGCTATATTAATATCAGATAAAATATATTTCAGAAGGAAGAACATTAACAGGACAAAAAAGGATATTACATAGTGATAAAAGGGTCAATACACCAAGAAGACACAGCAGTCATAAACGTGTATGCATCAAAGAACAGAGCTCTGAGATACATGAAACAAAAACTGAAAGAACTTGAAGGAGGAATAAACAATTCCAAAATTATAACTGGGGGCTTCAACACACCTGTCTCAGGAATTAAAATACTAGACAGGAAATCAGCAACAGAATGGAAAATCTGAGTAACACCATCAACCAACAGGATCTCATAGACATTTATAGAACACCCAACAATAGAAGAATTCACATCCGTATCAAGCACCCATGGAACAAGAGAGATCATATCCTGAGTCACAAAACAAACCTTCAATGAATTTGAAAGTGCTGAAATCACACCACGTATGAACTCGGACCAAATGTGAAACAAACTAGAAATCAGTAACAAAAAGATTTCAGAAAATACTCCAAACACTTGAAAATTAAACAACGTATTTCTAAAAAATCCATGGGTCAGAAAAGATGCCTCAAAAAAAGTCAAGAAATATATATATCTGAATGAAAAATCACGGGATAGATCTAAAACAGTGCTAAGAGGGAAATGAATAACACTAAATGCTTACATTAGAAAAGAAAAATTTCTAGAACAATTTTTCATGAATATAGACAAACTCATTCAAAAAGTTATATGGAAAGGCAAAGGAACTAGGATAGCTAAATCAATTTTTTTAAAAAAAAGATTAAACAAGAGGAATCACTTCACACAATTTTAAGATGTACTGGATAGCTACAGTTATCAACACAGTATGGTACTGGCAGAGGTTTAGACACATTAGATCGATGGAACAGTATACAAAAAACAGAAGTAGACCAACATGAATATGCCTGACTGATTTTTGACAAAGGGGCAAAAGCAATTCAATGGAGACAGGATAGTCTTTTCAACAAATGGTGCTGAAACAACTGAACATCCACAAACCAAAAAAACCTCCATCTAAAACCCACACTGTAATACAAAATTTCAAAGTAGATCAGAGATTTAAATGTAAAACTGTAAACGTTTTAGAAGAAAACACAGGGAGAACATATCTGGGGTCAAGGGCTTAGTGTAGAGTTGTCAGACATGGAGCAAAAAGACTAAGAAGTATACTCACAATAATGAGACTGTAAATCATACAGAATGTCTTCTGCCCACAATGGCAGTGCAAAACTACACGTTTATTTTTTAACCTTTGTGTACGATGTATTCTTTAACGTGATAATCGAACATAGCTTAAAAAAGAAAAAAAAGCTCAAATGAAGGAATTTCAGAATTCCCTGACTACAGACAGCACCAGAGGACCAAATCCGTGGTGATAACTGTGACACCCACACATACTTGCATGTATACATCCTGGTTCACCTGTTAAAACTCCAGTCATTTTACTTTAATGCAAGTCTTCACACAATCTTTGATAAGATGAAAGATACGATTCCTTCTCTGTGTTTTCTGAGTTTATCATGATCTTTTAATTTAGCTACGTGTTTTAATTTGTTTTAGCTGTAATTCAACCCCTAGAAAACTGTCAAGGTACACTTGGAGAAGTTTCTCTACAAAGGATTAAAGAAGCTGAGGAACCCCAGTGAGAGGAAAGAATTAGGACTCACCTGGGAAGGTCACACAGCTCCACTATCATCCACATGCCACAGAAGGAAAAATAAATAAATAAATAAGGATCCAAAAAAAGTATGAATGTTGTGCAATTGCAACTATATGAAGAAACATTTTTTTTTTTAAATCAAAGCGTCAAAAAGTCTTTAAGTGCTGCAATAAGATACAGCCATTTGTATGTGTATCCTTACCTCCTTAAATATAAACTATTTTCATGACTTGAGCCTTCATATTCCTCATAAAGATATATGTACCTCAAGGGTAGGACAATGTTGTAGAACAAAAAAGCCTTTTAAGAAATTGTTTCAGACCTGCCCTCAGCTGATAAACTCCACTGGCACGGGATAGCAGTGAACACATACAGGGGCTGAGGCCCTTTTACCTCAGAAACAATACTATCCTACCCTTAAATAAGGAATCAGTGACAAAATATAATAAGCTTGGCGAGGAACTGTGAAAAAAGCTGTTTCCATTTCTTTTCCTTTTTTTTCTATCCCTCCTCTGCTGAGAGGGCCTTGAACAATACAAGATGGGTCCTGGCCACAAAGAACTCTGGGAGAGAGGAGAGTATTCACTGTGCAATGACCTAGGCCAGGAAAAAATACACCAAATACCTGACTTCATTGTAACTTCAGCTGCAACCCACTGACTAGAACAAAAACAATCCCATTCATCATAGATTAGACATGTTTTTTCCTGGCTATCCTGCATGAATCCTTGCACGTAAGCACCAATTTATGTAACAGCCACCCCTCACTATTGTGTGCAGACTCCTACATGGGTGACACTTGAGGCTTTGCTGTCTGTTGCGAGATTCTTGGCATCGACCTCTGTAAGTAAGTTCCCTAATAAAGCCTTGTCTGATCAACATGGCTTTTACTGCCTATTTTTTCAGAATCTGACCTGGTCCGGTAGGGTACAACATCTGCCTCCTCATTCTTGGTTTAAATATTCCTGAGGTAACAATGCAAAGTAAACTAAGACAGATGTGGCTGAAGATTTTCCTAAGTGAACAATGACTACTTGTTCTCTCTCCTGGATGTATTTTCAGATGTAGAGTCAGACTTTAGGCAGCTCAGTTTCTATTATGACTCTTATATGACAAGTCTAAGTTCTGTGACAGAACACTTCCTCACAGGGATGATACTTGTGAGCTTTTGCTTTGGTATGAATAATCAGATGCCGGGTAAGATGGTTCCTCTGGCCAAAGATTTTCCTCGGTGGTTACATTTAAAGAGTCTGTCCCCAATAGAAGTCCTTGGATGTTGACCGAAGTTTGCTCACTTGTGAAAGGTCTTTCCACATCTGTCACACTGACAGGGCTTCTCCCAGTATGAATTCTTTGGTGTTGTGTGAGGTGTGACTTGCGGTTGAAGGCCTTTCCACATTCAATGCACTCATAGGGCTTGTCCCCAGTGTGAATGCTGTAGTGTCGAATGAAAGCTGGCCGATCACGAAAGGCTTTCCCACACTCCTTGCACTCAAAGGGTTTTTCTCCTGTGTGGCTCCTCTTATGCAAGACAAAAGTGGAGAGATGGGCGAAGGTCTTTCCACACTCACTGCACTCATAGGGCTTCTCCCCAGTGTGAATCCGCTGGTGCTGTGCAAGGTGTGCGCTTTGGGTGAAGGTCTTCCCACACTCTGTACACACATAGGGTTTCTCCTCAGTGTGAATCCGCTGGTGCCGTGCAAGGTGTGACCTGCGGCTAAAGGCCTTCCCACACTCGATGCATTTATTGGACTTCTCCTCTGTGTGAATCCACTGATGCCGTGTAAAGTATGAACTTCGGCTGAAGGTCTTTCCACACTCTGTGCACTTATAGGGCTTCTGCCCAGTGTGACTTCGCTGGTGCTGTGCAAGGTGTGACCTGTGGCTGAAGGCCTTCCCACACTCTGTGCACACATAGGGCTTCTCCCTAGTGTGAAACTGTTGGTGCCGTGTAAGGTGTGACCTGAAGCTGAAGGCCTTCCCACACTCTGTGCACTCATAGGGCTTCTCCCCAGTGTGGATGACGTGGTGCTGAAGGAGGTTTGTGCTCTTGCTAAAAGTTTTCCCACACTCTGTGCACTCATAGGGCTTTGTTCCAGAGTGAATCCGCTCATGTTGAACAAGGAGATGTTTCCTGTTAAACACTTTCCCGCATTCGTTGCATACATAGGGATGTCTCTCTTTGTGAGTCATGGCATCTTTATCTGGTCCATGTGAGTCACCGTCATGGACAGCAACTTGTGGAGAGACTCGCTCCTGCAGAATCCTTGAACATGCACCATCATCTGTCCCAAAACCATCATGTTCAGGGCTCATTTTCCCGGGGAGCTGCTCCTTCTGGGGGTCTACCCCTGGTTGCAAGTGTTGGTCCTGCACTTCTGGTGGCCCCTCCTGATCCTTCTCTCGCCTAAGCTGAGAGTCCCTGGAGGCTCCCGGTGTCAGCTGTGCCTGGACTGAGGCTCCATCAGACAACACTGGCTCAGGTGCAGTTGGCTCTGTGGACTCAAGTTTTGCTTTGTCCCCTGAAAGACATCAAACATACAAAAGGGCCTATTAGTAATGACAACATAAAACAAACAAAACTACCACTTCAGTAAGAACATGAAGATGGAAATAGCGCCTCTGTGCCTGATATGTTTTGACATCTCTGAAACCCAAGTTTGCCAATTCTTTCTTTCATGGTCTTTGCCTCTTTCCCACTTTGGAAGGGAGAACCAGGGGAAGAGGATGAAACAGGGAAGAGCCAGACCAGGGGGTGGGTGGACACAGTGGTTAATGACACTGTGTGTGGTGAGTTTGCTCTCAGCGAGGACATCTCATGGTCAGTAGGCAATTATCATGTACTGACATTTCAAAGATGACACAGATTGGCCAAAAAAACATATGATGAGGGGTCAATCTCCTTAGCAACGAGGAAATGCAAATCAAGACCACATGAGATACCATTTTATGCTTGTGTTGGCTTGAGAAAAATTAAAGAACTTTATAAAATCTAGTATTGGACTGAAAACGTTATCAATGGAACCTCTCATGCTCTCCTGGCGAAGTACCAACTGACATAACACCATAGAACAATGGGAATTGCTTTTTAAATTTGAATATTCGCTTACCCTGTAATGAAGCAATTTTCATCCTAGGTACATTATCAAGAGAAAGCCCTATACGTGGGTGTGAGGGCTCATGTATATGAATGTTCATGGTAGCATTGATTGTCAGAATGAAAAAATGTAAATAATTAAATGCCATGGAGAGTCCATGAATACATTATGATAGAATGATACAAAAGAATATGTTGTTGTTGTTTGCCATCAAATCAATTCTGACTCATAGCAACCCTATAGGACGTAATAAAACTGCCCCATAGGGTTCCTAGACTGTAATCTTTATGGGAGCAGATCACCAGGTCTTTTCTCACTCGGAGCAGCTGGTGGGTTTGAACTGCTAACCTCTAGGTTAGCAGCCAAGTACTTAACCATTGCACCACTAGGGCTCCCAAAAGAATATAGTACACTAAAAAATGATTTGGAAAATAATGGATTCACTACTTAAATAAAATGGACAATTTCCTTGAAAGGTACACATTACTAAAACAGACACATGAAGAAACCAAAAACCTGGATAGCTCTAGATCTAATAAATAAACTGAAAGTCTATATAAAAACATTTGCACAACAGAAGGAATGGGACAATAAACCCATAACCCAGGCAAAGGGTTATCTCTGAGAAAGCCCAGGTACAGGAAGGGAAGAAGCGTATACACACAGCTATATAGGGTACTGAGTAATGTTATTATTCTTGGGTTGTGAGATGTTCAGGATATTGCTTTCAAAAAGGAATAAATGAATAAACGAATTCATTGAAACAATCACAGACCAATGACTGTAATGTATCATAAACCACAGTTCGTGATCTATCTTAAATCTGTACACTCCACCATAAAAAGAAAGGCCACTTGATTGTTGTGGATAAGTTCAGGTCTCTGAGGACAAACATCCCAGCCTCAAATTCCAGCAGCACCCCACACGAGCTCTGTGGACTTTCTCAAGACACTCAAATTCCCTAAGTTTTATTTTCCCTTCTAAACCACAGAGATGAAAATGGACCCTGAAGTATAGAACTGTTGTACGGATAAAGTAAAACAGCCAGTCCACTCCTTGGTAGGCTCCCTAGAAAATGAGTGCTAACAGCCACCAAGAAACCATAAAGAATATTCTTAGCAACCTTTAAAACATCCAAAAACTGAAAATCCGAATGTCAATCAAGAGAGGAATGAAAAACAAAAAATGGTGGTAAATCACACAATGAGATACTTCACAGTATTGAGAATGAACCAACTCCACCTATACGCAAACACAAGAAAAATAATCTCACAGACATAGTTTTGACCCAAAGAAGACAGACATGAGACAGAGGATACCGTGGGGTTCCGTTTATGTCCATACGAAAAGTCAAAACTAATGCATGATAGATTCTAAACTGGGGTTACCTTTGTAGAAGGGGATATTGACTACAAAGGGCCATGAGGAGCCTGCTGAGGTGCTGGAATATTCTGTATATTGATCTACCTATGTGGTGGTTAGGAGCCCTGGTGGTGCAGGGGTTAACGCACTCGGCTACTAACCGAAAGGTCAGCAGTTCAAACCCACCAGCCGCTCCTCTGGAGAAAGATGTGGCAGTCTGCTTCCGTAAAGATTGACAGCCTTGGAAACCCTGTGGGGCAGTTCTACCCTATCCAATAGGGTTGCTATGAATCTGAATTGACTCAAGAGCAGTTGGTTTGCTGTTTTGGTTTATGTGGTGGTTACTTGGGTTTACACATTTGCAAAAATTCGTCAAGCTGATGTCCTCAGATCTGTGCACATTACTGTCTGTAAGTTACACTTCAGTGAAAAAGTGACAGAAAATAAGAGAAAAAAGGAGATATGGAACACGAATGTACACTTCTCTTCCAAGAATGAGACTCCTCCTTTAGGAAGCCTGGTTGTACAGGGAAGGATAGACAACACCAGTGTAGCGCCATTAAAGAGCCATGAGCATTTTTTATTTGTGTGATTTTCATCAAGTGTGTTATTGATTGAATTAGGTTCCCCAAAAATATGTGTTGTAAATCCTAACCTCTATTCCTGCGGTTATAATCCCATCTGGGAATGGGTTCTTTGTTATGTTAATGTGGCAGGATTAGTGTACGGTGTATATTGGGTCAATCTCTTTTGAGATATAAAGGAGATGAAACAAGCTAGTGAGAAAAGCAGAGATGGGAGAAGATAGATGCCAAGACACATGAAGATTGTCCAGGAACAGAAGCTCAGAATAGACAAGGACTTATCCTCCAGCACCAACAGAGAGAGAAAGCCTAGAACTGGTGCCCTGAATTCGTACTTTTAGCCTCCTAAACTGTGAAAAAATAAATTTGTTTGTTAAAGCCACCCACTTGTATTTCTGTTATAGAAGCACTACATAACTAAGACAGTAAAGAATTGAGCATATTTTTATTTTAAGTAGAGAAAGGATGACGTTACAGAAGAGATGAAAAATAAGCGAAGAAGGGAGTTCTCTGAAAAGGTGTGATTAGACTCTGGTATAAGAGCTGCCCGTGCCCAGAGGCAAGACCTCTGTTGGAGAGGTAAGAAGAGAAGTAACAGATGAGAGAGATTTAGATGTGTGTATACGGGTTGAGGATCAAGCAATACAAAGGGGTAGACTTTATTTTTAATACGAAAATATGTTGATACATTAGTGGTCACATACTGAGACATTAGTGGCTGGGGTGTGGTAAATGTTTGGAACAAGGGCTGAGTGGCTCGGGGAGCTGCTGCAGGAGACAGAGGTAACAGGAGACACAGAGTAGATGTGGAGAGGCCAGTTAGCAGTCTATCGGCATCACTCAGACAAAAGATGATGAGAGCTTGGAGTAAGTGTGGGGACAAATCTGAGGGCACTATTGGAGGTGGTGGATTCAGGAGACGTGCATGATGTAACATGGACAGAATCTGGGAATGGCTAGATGTAGAAACTGATGCAGAAGGAGGTACTGAGGTGTTGTTGAAATTGTATCCAGCCTTCCTTACCTGCCTGGACAGAGGAAGCATTTACTAAAATGTGGGCGGTGAGAGAAAGTGGGCAATGTCGTGGGTATCTTGTTAGGCGTGTTGAGTTTGAGGTGCCACTGAGGCAGTCACATGGAGATATAGGACTGAGGAGGGGGTAAAGGTTTGGAACAGACTCTGAGGTGCTGAAGAGGGGCTGGACAGACATTGGAGAAGGTGGAAAAAGTGAAAGGCAGAGGACAGTTGGAGAAAATAATTGGGAAAGGAAGAAAGGTCCTTTTTCCTCACAGTTGAGGAGAAAATGTGAGATATTTATAATTATTATGGCTAAAATCATGACATGAATGATACTGATATCTGATCTCTGCTGAGCCACATACTGTGGGTCAGGCATTGTGCTAAATAGTTTCATGCACTATCTGACTACACCCTCAAACAACCCAATGACATAGAAACTATTATGACTATCAGTTCAGAGTAGACTGAGTGCAGACGACTCAGCAGATGTTCACCAAAGTATTTCCTCCTCTCCTCAGGCACACAGCTCAACTCCACTGCCCAGTCCCATGTGCCCAAGTATGGCCCAGTGCCTCGTCCTTGTCAGTGGAATGAGAGTGGAACAGATATGTATAGAAATGGGTTGGACATCTCTCCAAACTTTCTTGTTAACCCTGTGCCAGCTGAAGGACACCAGGGCAACATTAAAAGCCACCTGCCAGCCTGAGTCAAGCACAACTAGATGGTGCCCAGCTACCACCACTGACTGCTCTGACAAGGATCACAAGATAGGGTCCCAGACAGAGCTGGAGAGAAATGTAGAACAAAATCCTAACACACACACACACACACACTCACAAAAAAAAAAAAAAAAAAGACCAGACTTACTGGTCTGACAGAGATTGAAGAAACCCCAAGAGTATGGCCCCTGGGTACCCTTTTCCCTCAGTAATGAGGTCACTCCTAAGGTTCACCCTTCAGCCAAAGATTAGACATGCCCGTAAAACAAAAAGAGACTAAGTGGGCACACCAGCCCAGGGGCAAGAAACGAGAAGGCAGGAGAGGACAGGAAAGCTGGTAATAGGGAACCAAAGGTCAAGAAAGGGAGAGTGTTGACATGCCATGGGGTTGGCAACCAATGTCAGAAAATAATATGTGTACTAATCGTTTAATGAGAAGCTAGTTTGTTCTGTAAATCTTCATCTAAAGTACAATTAAAAAAAAAAAGCCACCTGTTGACACTATGAAGTACTTGGGTCTCTGAAGAAGGAAACCAAAGACTCAGAGAAGAAAGTAGTCTACAAGACTAACAGCTTACACGAACCACAGCCTCATCTACCCTGGGATGAAAAGAACTAGACGGTGCCCAGCTACCACTCTACCAACTGTTCTGTTTAGGGCCACAATAGATGGATCCTGATAGAACAGGAGAAAAATGTGGAACAGACCTCAAATTCTTAAAAAATCTAGACTTCCTTGACTGGTTAAGACTGAGGACTCCCTAAGACGACTGCCCTAAGATACTCTTTAAACCTTAAACCAAAACCAACTCCGGATGTCACTTTTTAGCTGAGCAACAGACTGGCTCACAAAATAAAGAATATTACCCGTGAGTACTGTGCTCCTTTAAAAAATCATCTATATGAGACCAAACGGTCAACTATTACTTTAAAACAAAGCTGAGAAGGTAAGGCGGCAAGGAAACCAGATTAATGGAAACAGAACAACCAGAATGAAAACGAGAATGTTCACTCACTGTGAAGAAGGTAACCAACATCACTGAACAATTTTGTAGAAATTGTTGAATGTGAACCTAAACTGCTGTGTAAACCTTCATTGAAAACACAATACAGGTACATGGGGCCCGAAGCTGCGGCTCCTCCTGTGGTGGCAGCCGCCTAACAGTCTGGCTGCAGTGGTGGCAGATTGGGAAGGCACGCAGTGAGGAAGGAAGGGAAAGGAGCTGGCAGCTGGATGGCAAGTGTACACAGCAGCTCTCAGAGACTGGGCAGTGACCACACAGGACTGGTGGCAGCGGAGCCAAAATTTTCATGCAGTCGCTTGGCGAGGCGGTGGCACAGGTCCTACAGGTGACCGTTCTGTGCATCTGTATCCTGTATATAATATGGTGTTCGCACAACATCCAAATCACACAATGCCCTATTTCACAGAACATATTACGAACGTTAAGCAATGCATACCTGTAAGATATTACTTAAAAAAGAAAAAAACTACTTGGGTGTCCAGATAATTGTGTGGTACAAAGTCTCCCTTCTTCGTGTAAGAGAAAGTTTTCATATGTGGAACCACTGAGATTCTGAAGATGCTCTGTTATAGCAGCTAGCTTTAACTGAGCCTAACTGATACACCAAGGCACAAGATTACGCACCTTCCTCCAGGCCAAAAAGCTGGTGAAAGCCAGTTTTTAATCCCAATAAGTTGGCACTGGACTCATAGCAACCCTACACAACAGAGTAGAGCTGCCCATAGGGTTTCCAAGGCTATCATCTTTACAGAAGCAGACGCCACATCTTTTTTCCACGGAGTGGCTGGTGAGTTCGAAGTGCCAACCTTATGAGCTGGAATCGACTCTACGGCAAGGGGTTTGTTATCCCCTTACTGTTAAGCGGATAATCCCACACTGTTAAGTTGGTGCTCAGAGCCTGACATTACCTAATATACCACACTCCTCCAGATGAGCAGTAAAGAGTGTGATGAGGGTGGAAGGACAGAGGAAGCTAAGGTCAAAAGGTTACATGGCTCTCCGTCCCCAGAGAGGTAAAGACAAGAACGTTCCCAAGGGGATCCAGAATCAGTGGTCTCTTCAAGCTCTGCAGGGTACAGGGCCCCCACTTGCCCACATCTTATCACTCACCTGGACAGGTGCTTTGGGAAAGGTCTTTCTTCATGGCCCATAGCTCCTGCCCAAGCTTCAGATCATAGGTCAGCTCTGGTTTTAGAACAGGATACCCTGTTCATAGAAAAGGAAAAGAACACAGGGATTTGGGAAGAGAAGAAACAAAAAGAAACCTCTCAATCTAGTCTGGGACATCAAGATGGGGATGCGAGTGTGGAATGAAGCTATTTCCATCCAAGCACTCAAAATACTGACATGTGACCTGGAAGTCAAGGGTACAAACCCCATCCTTGGTGCCCAAGGACTGTAGACAGTAGTGCTGCTCTCTAGGCAGCACGTTATTTCCTCTGACCTCCACCTAAATAATCAAACACTGTTCAGACGAAGCCATGGGACCCAGGGAAATGACTGCATCCTTCCAGAAAGTGTTTTCTAATTAATCTAAGTCAGTGGGTCTCAATCTGCCTATGCATCAGAACCCCCTGGGGCTGTCTGGTTCCCATTCACCAACCAACTGAAGCCATATCTCTGAGGGGGAGGCCTGAAAATCAGTAGATTTTAAAACTCCTCGGTGACTTTGACACCCAGGGAGAGTGAGAAACACTGGTCTCCTCAGTTTGAAAACCACATCCTGATTATCAGTAGTCTGAGGGGGGCAGGTGACCTAACTGGCCACTCTGTGAAGTGAAAACCTTCATTCCAGGAAGGCTAAATAAGGGGACCTGCCACTGCTATTGTCCTGAAGCATCCTGCGACTACTAGAACCTGCTTGAGGGTCTACATCAAGGAGAGGAAGCAAAGAAACAAAAGAACTGGGTTGTCATCCACCAACCTGAGAGCCAGCCCCATCCCTGGGCTTCTCATTAGGTACTTGGTGAGCTTGGGGATTTTATTAATCTTCCCACAGCAGTGAGGTGAACACCATCATCCTCTCCACATAACAGTCTTTGACCTGAGGCCAGGGGGCTCTTATCAATTCACCAAGAGTCACAAGTCTTATGAGCAGAGGCAGGACTTGAATGCAGGTCCCTCTGCTCCAGGGACCAATGGAGTAACCCTGACACCCCTCCTTCATCAAAGTGAATCCACAGGAACGAGGCTGGGACACATTTCCAGTAATTTCTGCTGTTAAATTCATTACGACCATAAGTAACAATGCACAAGTACCAGAAGAGAGACTAGATAACTGGGAGCTCCTAAAAATCAAACACTTATGCTCATTAAAAAACTTCACCAAAAGAGTAAAAAGACAACCTACAGACTGGGAAAAAATTTTTGGCTGCAACAAATCCGATTAGTGTCTGATCTCTAAAATCTACAAGATACTGTAAAACCTCAACAACAAAAAGACATATAACCCAATTAGAAAATGGGCAAAGGATATGAACAGGCACTTCGCCAAAGAAGACATTCAAGTGGCTAACAGACACATGAAGAAACGCTCACTATCATTAGCCATTAGAGAAATGCAAATCAAAACTACAGTGAGATACCATCTCACGCCAACAAGGCTGGCACTAATCCAAAAAACAAAAATAATAAATGCTGGAGAGATTGTGGAGAGACTGGAACACTTATACACTGTTGGTGGGAATGTAAAATGGTACAACCACTCTGGAAATCGATTTGGCGCCTCCTTAAAAAGCGAGAAATAGAAATACCATACAATCCAGCAATCCAGCTCCTTGGAATATATCCTAGAGAAATAAGAGCTGTCACACAAATAGATATATGCACAACCATGTTCACTGCAGCACTGTTCATGATAGCAAAAAGATGGAAACAACCTAGGTGCCCATCAATGGACGAATGAATAAATAAATTATGGTATATTCACACAATGGAATACTACGCAACGATAAAGAACAACGATGAAGTCATGAAACATAACATGAAGGAATGTGGAGGGCATTATGCTGAGTGAATTTAGTCAGTCACAAAAGGACAAATATTGTATAAGACCACTATTATAAGAACTCAAGAAAAGGTTTAAACACAGAAAAAAACATTCTTTGATGGTTATGAGAGTGGGGAGGGAGGGTGAGGGTTATTCACTAACTAGATGGTAGATAAGAATTATCTCAGGTGAAGGGAAGGACAGCACACACTGCAGGGGAAGTCAGTGCAATTAGACTCTAACCAAGGCTGAGAAGTTTCCTGAATGCAATCAAACACTCTGAGGGACAGAGTAGCGGGGCGGGGGTCTGGGGACCATGCTTTCAGGGGACATCTAGGTCAATTGGCATAACAAAGTTTATAGAGAAAATGTTCTGCATCCTCCTTTGGTGACTAGTGTCTGGAGTCTTAAAAGCTTGCAAGCTGGCCATCTAAGATGCATCAATTGGTCCCAACCACCTGGGGTAGAGGAGAATGAAGAACACCAAAGACACAAGGAAAGCATTGGCCCAAGAGACAGAAAGGGCCACATAAACCAGAGACTTCATCAGCCTGAGACCAGAAGAACTAGATGGTGCCCAGTTACCATCGATGACCATCCTGATAGGGAACACAGCAGAGAGTCCCTGATGGAGCAGGAAAAAGGTAGGGTGCAGAACTTGAATTTTAGTAAAAAGACCAAACTTAATAATCTGACTGAGACTGGAGGAACCCCAGAAAGCATGGCCCCTGGACTCTCTGTCAACTCAGAAATAAAACAATTTCCGAGGCCAGCTCTTCAGACAAAGATTGGACTGGACTGTGGGACATAAAATGATACTCATGAAGAGTGTGCTTCTTAGCTCAAGTAGATACATGAGACTAAATGGGCAGCTTCTGTCCAGAGGTGAGATGAGAAGGCAGAGAGGGTTAGGAGCTGGCTGAATGGACATGGGAAATCAGGGGTGGAAAGGAGGAGTGTGCTGTCACAGTACAGGGACAGCAATTAGGGTCACATAACAACGTATGTATAAATTTTGTATAAGAGACTAATTTGAAATGTAAACTTTCACTTAAACTACAATGATAAACAAAATAATTACTCCAAAAAAAAAAAAGTAGTACACAAGAAAAAGGGACAATTTCAGTAAATGGTATAACATATACAAGTTCGCAACAACAATAACAACTAAAAAATATATGTGTGGTTACATAGGTAAAAGTGTATGGATATATGTCTATAGGAAGGCATATGTGAGTGCATCACATGTAGATATAGATGTATCTGTATGCATTTGTAAATACATGTTTGTGTGTGCTGCCTATATATCCATACATATAATACAGTGAATAGGGGGCATAGTTACAGAGACTTCCTAGACATATCCAAACAATGCATGGAATTGGTTTATTGGCTTGAAGGGCTTAGGACCATAGTCAATTGGCATAACATAGTTCATAAAATTAATGTTCTACCCCTAGTTTGGGGAATAGCACCTGGGATCTTAAAAGCTTGCGAGCGGCCATCTAAGATACAACTATTGGTCTCTACCTGTCTGAAGTAAAAGAGAATGAAGAAAACCAAAGACTCAAAGAAGAAACTAGTCAGTAGGACTACTAGCCCACACAAACCACTGGCTTCTTCTAACCTGAGACCAAAAGAATTAGATGGTGTCCAGCTACCACTACTGACCACTCCGACCAGGGACACAACAGAAGGTCCCAGTTAGAATGGGACAAAAATGTAGAACAAAACTCAAATTCATAAGTAAGACCAGACTTACCAGACTGATTGAGAGTAGAGGAACCCCAGAGACTATCACCCTAAGATGCCCTTTTAACCTGGAACAGAAACCATCCCGAGAAGTCACCTTTCAGCCAAACAATAGATCGGCTTATAAAATAAACAATATCACTGAAGAGTAATGTCTCCCTTAAACAATTAACTATATGAGACCAAACGGTCAACATTTACCCAAAAACAAAGATGAAAAAGCAAGCAGGGGAAGTGAAGCCAGAGCAATGGAAACAGAACAAACATAATGGAAAGAATGAGAATGCTGACACATTGTGAAAACTGTAACCAATGTCATGGAACAATGTGCATAAAAACTGTTAAATGGGAACCTAACTCACTGTATAAACTTTCAACTAAAAAACAATAAAATATTTTAAAAAAAAAATTCATTACAGCCACTCCTGAAAAAATTTCTGTGAATGTGGGCAGAGGAGCAGCGCCATCATCACTGAACTCACAGGAGGGGCCCCATACGTAGCACCTGCCGTGGGAGTGGCAGGAGCTGCACAGCTCCCTGGACCCCTGGCTCCCTCTGGGCCTCACAGCCTCCTAGGGAGATTTATAATGAGCCATCATTCTCTTTATCCTTCCTGAGTCTTCACAGCATGTATCCCTAAGGCTAGGACACTTCAGGACCAGGGAATATATGTGGCAGGGACAATGCAGGCTACTCCCATGAGAACATGGGCCTTTGACTAGCCACAATGTCTGTACTGACTGAGGGTAATATATCATCCATAAAAGGACCATACACACTCAACGTCCCAGGACCTATCTGAGCAGATGTGTGTGGGGGGTGGAGGTGGGGGCGACCATGGCAGCCACACAAGCCCTCTTGGGCCTCCTGAAACCACCAATATAACTTATCCTTGTCCTCATACTTCCCTCTGCACTGAATGCTACCGCTCTCCTAGTGCCATACAAGACCAGCTGGAGGAATACTGTCCACCTTGCAAAGTTCACTTTAGTTGTCACCCCCACTACTTCCCAGCCCACTGTGGGAGAGAAGCAGGTAAAAACAGACTCTAGTGGTCAACATACTGGATATGAGTTTCTGCTACTTAATCATTGTGTGACCTTGCACAGATAACATAACTTCTCTGAGCCCTGAGTTCTTCTTGTGTAAAACAGTGATAACAAAACCTAACTGAGAAGTTGAGGATGAAATGAGGTGATTCATAATGCCTGCGCCTCAGTTCACATCAAGGACTCAATGAAGGCCAGCCGTTATGGTTCTTTTCTCCTTATTTCTCCTCTTTGCTCCCACAATATCCTACAAAACCTCAACCCAGGAGACTTGTAATTTTGCCAAATTCCCTACACAAAAATGCCAGACCACCGGCGACCAGGAAAGCAGCTACTTTATCCTGAACTACTAGGAAAAGCCTCCCCAAAGGAAGAACATTTGAGCAGAGCCAGAAAGATGCGAAGGAACACCCTGTGAAGATCCAGGGACAGTGTCCTTGACAGAGGGAACTGCTAGGTAAAGGCTGGGAGACTGAAGAGAACTCAGCCTGATCAGGTTGGTGGGTCTGTAGAGCAGCGAGCAGGAAAGAATGTAAGGAGACAAAGTCAGAGGTGGTAGGCCAGGGAGGATCGGGTAGGAACTTGCAGTATGTGGTAGGGAGTTTGGAGACTCTGGGGGAAACATCAATCAATCATACCACAACCACTGACTGAGAACGTGTCAGAGGCCCGACCCTCCTATGTTGTTGTTGGGTGGGACTTGACTCATAGCGACCCTATATGACAGAGTGCAATTGCCCCATAGGGTTTCCTAGGCTTTAATCTTTACGGAAGCAGATCGCCAGGTCTTTCTCCGAGAAGTCGCTGGGTGGGATCAAGTCGCCGACCTTTCGGTTAGTGGTGGAACGCTTAACTAACTACTACACCATGTCTTCTTGACACTCTTATAAGCCTTGGGATAAAGCAAGTGGCAAGCCAGCTCCAGCTCCACTTGCCGTGAACAAACAGCTGCAAAGTCAAATCCAGGGTTTCTCAGTTTCTGACCGGCCAGGAGCCCTCTCTTTGACCTAGCAGAGAAGCAGCAATTCCAACAACAACCTCCACTCACCTGCGCCCGGTGCCTCAGCTCCGCCGCCATCCCGGGACTCTGTGGACAAAAGCGGCCAATACTGAGAGGCTGGCGACCGGTGCGGGCCACGCGGTTTCTCCTGCTTGGGAAGAGGTGATCTCAGCTGACTCGCACTCCGAGCCTCAGTGTCCCCCCCGTATAAATGGCGCACAAGGCCGAGGGCACGCATCCGGAGCTGCAGAAACGGCCGGCGAGTGCTGCGGCAACAGGAAACTAAAGGACCCAGTGGGGGACCAGGGGATACCCCCGTTACAGATGGGTCACAGCTCCTACAAAGGGAAGGGGGTCCCACAAAGCCGAGTAGAGAAGAATAGCGCAGCTGCAGCCACAGTTCCTGCAGGAAAAACCATCTCACGCCGACGACGTACAATTAAAAGACCGGAAGTCCCGCCCAATGCACCCGTCCCGCGAAAACGCCCCTCTGATAGGCGGTCATTGGCCCAACAGCGTACGCAGATGCGCAAGGCACGGCCGTCTGGGTAATGTAGACATTTCTCTACATCCAACCAGGAGTGAGGCGCCTTTCCGTGTTCTCCACGGAAACGCGCAGAAGACTTAGAGTCCCGCGTCACACCCACCTCTTAACAGCGGGCACAGTGTGTGTGGGGAAGGGGCAAGTGTGAAGCCGTCCTTGTAACTCCCGCAGAAACCGAGTCTGGGGAGAAGGGGACATTTACTGGGTACCTGGACAAATGCAAAGGCGCGGAACCCGGCCGTCCTCTCGGCCTCTGACCTTCCCCGCTCCCGTCATCTTCTCTCCGCGTGTCTCACAGGGGATACCGATAAACGAGCCCCGAAAATAACTGCCGAAAGTAGGACTCCAGAAATCCCGCGCAGACCCGTTTCGCACGCACGGACCTCCCTCTCCCTGGACCTTTGGCTTGGTACCTTAGTAGCAAAGTGCACGCACTTCTGAGTAAGGTCGTTGGCAAGAGCAGCAAAAATGTGGATTTGTCTTCATGTAGGTGAGTAAGCGTCAAGTAGTGGCGGCTTGGAGGAAGACTCAGGACTCCAATTTTGAACATGCTCAGTTTGAAATGTCTGAAATCCCAACGTAACTGGATCACGCAGGCAGTTCCACATATGAATGAACGTTGGGAGAGGGTTCTGGCTTGGAGGTATAAACTGGTTGAGATTCTCAAAGGAATGAGTGTAGATGGAAAACGAAATCGACAGAGGATCAGCCCTGGACTAGATCAACATTAAGTGGCTGGCGACAAGAAACCAACTACGTCATATTAGAGGTATTTTACGGAAAATCTTAGGAATCACCATTGGATGTCAGGGTTTTTGTTTTGTTTTTATAACTGAATGGCCCTGAAGGTTTTGAGTTCTAGTTAGAAGAGTAAGGACTGGGGCACTAGATGCGCAGAGAAATTAAAATCCAGACCGATCTCTGAAAGAACAGTCTCTGAATCTCTGGCGGAGGTTCTTTACTGTTTTCCCTTTTCTCTCTTAATCCGAACCTAGCTGTGATAGCCAAGGAAGCCAGGACCGCTTGACCATTAGCAAACAAAACCTTAGGTGACGGCAATGGGTGTCACTCGGTTGGAACCTACCCCTCCTGTCCATTGCCCTCAAAGCGCTGGGTGTGGCTCAAGCCAGTCAAACCCAGTTTACTAGCCTACAAGCCAAAGGAAAAAAATGCAATTTGTCTCATGCGCCTGCATGCCATGACAACCTAAGTAGTCCATAATGTTTGTATGTACTTACTTCGAAGTGACGGTATAAAAAGTTCTGCGTCCCTTTGTTCCGGGAGCTTGATCTGAGGTATGCACCTCCTTGCTCCTTGCCTGGGAGCTTGCAATAAATGCACTTCCTCCCTGCTCACCTCGGTGTGTCTTTATTTACGAGAAGCTGCACTGAGAAGAACCTGTTTTAGGTAACAGCTTCTGCGCCGCCAAACTATCCCATTGCTTGCACCTTGAAGACTTTTCTCTGTAGTCCAATCCAATTACACAACGTAAAGCTGTCACCCATTGCTAACTCTGGTGCCTTTTTCCATTTCTTCCTTCTTGCTCTGGGCCTTGAAACTTTTAAGGCCATGACAAAGGTGATTTTTTTTGGGCTGAGACAGATACACGTTGCCAAAGTTTATCTTGCCCAGCAGACACCCAATTCCAAAGTCATCAACTGATAAGCACCAGCTGACAGGAAAGGAATAAGAGAGGCCCTTTTCTGAAGGCAGATGGAGGGAGAGTCGGGGATCCTGAGTGTCTACCTTCCTGTTCACTCTACCTTCCATCTGCCCATTTTCCATTCACAAGGGCCCAGCCCATGTGAGTACAGTAACTTGCCACTCCCCCCAGTTTGCTCTATTTCATCTCTTCTTGGTTGATATTCCCACTTCCCTTCTTCTTTCAGATACAAAGAGAAAGAGATTCACATGGTTGGGATGCTGAGCTGGTTTTGATCCTCATCCAGCTGTTGAAGTCCAAACACCTGGTAACTATGAACCACACCTTATTTCAAAATTGAGTCTTTGGCAATGTTATGTAATGGAGGAATTCCAAAATTCCCTAACTATAGACATCACCAGGGGACTAAATCCATGGTGATAATTCTGACACCCACACATACCTGCATGTACACATCCTGGTTTACCTGTTAAAATTCCTTTCACTTTTTAAAATTTATGTATTTATTTTTTAAGTGATATTTTATTGTGTTTTTGGTGAAGTTTAAATAAAGTAGTTTAGGTTGCCATTCAACAATTTCTACAAAATTGTTCAGTGACATTGGTTACATTCTTCACAATGCATGAACATTCTCATTATTTCCATTCTGGTTGTTCTGTTTTCATAGATCTAGTTTCCCTGCCTCCTTACATTCTCATCTGTATTTTAAAGTAATTGTTGACCATTTGCTCTCATATAGGTGAATTTTTAAAGGAACACAGTACTTACGGGTGCTATTCATTATTTTGTGAGTCAATCTGTTGTTTAGCTACAAGGTGACACCAGGGGTTAGTTTCAGTTCAAGGTTTGAAGAGTATCTCAGGACAATTGTCTCAGGGAGTCCTCTAGTCTCAACCAGTCCACTAGGTCTTTTTTTTTTTTTTTTCCAGGAATTTGAGGTTCTGTTCCACATTTTTCTTCCATTCTATCAGGGTCCATTTATTGAGGCCCTGATTAGAAAGGTCAGTAGTGGTAGCCAGGCACAATCTAGTTCTTCTGGTCTCAGAGCAGATGAGGCTGTGGTTTATGTAAACTATTTGTCTTGTAGTCTAGTTCTTTCAATCTTTGATTTTCTTCTTTCTCTTTTGCTCTGGATGAGTAGAGACCAATAGTTTTCTCTTAGATGGCCACCCCAGACACTACTCACCAAACTAGTCACCAAACTAGGATGTAGAACATAACTTTTATGAATTGTATTATGCCATATCTTAGTTATCTAGTGCTGCTGTAACTTCTGTTGGATGGCTTTAACGAAGAGAAATTTATTATCTCACAGTCTAGTAGACTAGAAGTCCAAATTCAGGGTGCCAGCTCCAGGGGAAGTCTTTCTGTCTCTGTTGGCTCTAGAGGAAGGTCCTTGTCATCAATCTTCCCCTGCTGTAGGAGCTTCTCAGCACAGGGACCCAAAGTCCAAAGGATGTGCGCTCCTGGCTCTACTTTCTCGCTGGTATGAGGTCCTCATGTCTCTCTGCTCCCTTCTCTTTTATATCTCAAAAGAGATTGACTTAGGACACACCCTAGTCTTATAGATTGAGTCCTGCCTCATTAACAGAACTGCCGCTAATCCCACCTCAATAGCATCATAGAGGTAGGATTTACAACACATAGGAAAATCACATCTGATGACAAAATGGTGGACGATCACACAATACTAGGAATCATGGATTAACCAAGTTGACACATATTTTGGGGGGACACAATTCAATCTATAACATTCTACCCTTTGGCCCTCCAAATTCATGTCCTTGCCACATGTAAAACATATTCACCCCATCATATCATAGCAAAAGTTTTAATTCAACCCCAAGTCCAAAATCTAAAAATTCCTCTTCATCTGTAAAATCTAGAATACAGGTTATCTGCTTCCAAAGTAAAATGGTGGAACAGGCACAAGCTGGATATTTCTATTACAAATTGGAGAAATTGGAGGGAAAGAAGGGAGAACAGGCACCAAGAAAGTCAGTGGAACACAATTACATTTGCTCTTAAGGCTTAAAAATAACCCTTTGTTCTCTGAGACCATTTAGACAATAGCCCTGTCCTCCATACTCTAGGTATTGGCCACACTGTCTGGATTCTGAGTGGAGGCCCCTCAGTCCTAGGCTTCAGGTCCACCTTCCAGGCCCACTGGAACAGCAACTCTTCTCCCTCAAATTTGGGTGACCCCATTCTCCTAGTTCATCTGAGTGGCAACTCCACCCTTTGAGACCCCAGAGGTCCTGGCCCTATCCTTTGAGATTGAGGCAGCTCTGTTTCCTGTGTTCCTTGTCTCTTTAGCTTCTGCTTCCTGGTTCCTTGGTCTCTCAGCCCCTCAGTCCTTAACTCCCATGTCTGCCCAGCTGGGGCAAGCATTCCAGAGCTCTTTAGCTCCACCTATAAGTGCCTGGAGGCATCCCACTCCGCCGGTAAACTTCAGCTAGAAGGACTCAGCTCTCTTGCTCTGTGGGTCAGCAAGCCTAGCTCCACTGATAACTGCTTAGAGGCACCCCACTCCACCAGAAAGCCTTCTCTGCAAAGGCACTCAGCTCTCTTGCTCCATGGGTTGACTTCCAGCACTGTCTCACACTGGTCTCCTGGTTCTGCTGCTGCTTCTTGCCGTCTGTGCCATCTCTAGTGTAACACCTCTCCTTATTTCCTTCTGAGTCCTCACCAGAATTGTCTTTGATGTCCATAATTCCACCAACAGTCTCTTCAAGGCCATCTAGGCTTTTACTGTTAGACACTTTAAAACTCTTCCAGCCTCTATCCATTCACAGTTTCAAAACCGCTTCCACATTATAGATAACTGTCAGAGCAGCACCCTACTCCCAATACCAAATGTCTTAAGCTGGGTTCTCTAGGGAAGCAAAGCCAGCAAAGCGTATAAACATATATATAGAGAGAGATTTTTATCAAGGAAATGGCCCATATGGTTGTAGAGGCTGGAACATCCCAAGTCTGCGGGCCAGGATAGAGGCCTCTCCTGATTCACGCAGGTGCAAGGGCTGTCAAACCCAAGACCAACAGGTCAGAGAGCAGGGCTCCTGCTCAGAGGCTGTGAAGATCAATGAATCCCAAGATCGGCAGACAAGACCACAGGTAAGCTGCTAGCTCAAGTTCCAAGAAATGGAGGCCAGACAAACAGGAGCTGGCTGCAGGATCCAGAGTGTGCAA